GAGCTTTCCAAACCCACAAGCATCACACACTAGTTTCTTATTTGCTTTTTCATACATAAATGAATACAACCGACTCAGTAAACTAAGACCAAAATATCTCATATGCCTGTGATGTAACAGTAACACATCCTCAACATTCCTCCTAGATTCTCCCCATGCAACACTTTCTATCATGGATGCCAGAGCTGATTCCATCCCCTCTCGGTCCAAGTACCCAAGTACCAGAGTCTGCTATGTCATTTTGCTGTCGCAAGTGTCCGATCCATCCTTTTCTCTTGGAAGATCACTTGAGGAATATTAAAAGAAACAATGCATTTTAAATAGAGAATACACTAATAGATAAGAGATTTACTGGAAAAGAAGCATGCAAAACATTGGACAAAGTTATATGATTGGTACATCTCATTGTACCCTTACTTAAAAGTATACAGGTTACTCTATACTCTCTGGTATTGCTAAATGAGTGTGTTAAGGGAGCTCTCCAACATTGTCTGTCACGTGACAAGAAGCACCATAATATATTAATCATTCTGGTGATTCAGTTGTGGAAATAGAGGCAAGAGCAAGCGTGTCACCGGTACCTTTGTTAAAGCAAGCATTAGTGGCAATGTTACTCCTTGATGTAGATGGATTTGAAACATCCTCAACTCCATCTCCTGCAGCTTTCTGCATCCTCTTCAATTGCTCCGGACACTCATGATCCTCACTAGTAAAGATCACACCTGTCTCTCCCCCATCCTCAGTTATCATTAGATTTTCATGGTAGCCCCCTCTTCCACCTTTCCGAACGCCACGACCACGAACATAACCTCCACCTTGTCCACGTCCGCCTGTTTCTTTCTCCTTAAGTGTTTTAGAATAGGCTTTGCTTAGATGGTAAACTTCATCACAGTTGTAGCACCTGCGAGTCTCCCCCTGGACACCTAACATATCTGAGCTCGCAACAGCCAATGTTGATCGTATACCCGAAAAATCACTCAGCTTAGAGTGTAGCTTCATGTGATTCTCCTCCTGTATCATTGCAGCAATGGCCTCATCTAGTGTAGGAATAGCCGTTTGTGCTAGAAGAACTGATCTCCTCTAATCAAAGATCGGGTTTAAATGAGTCAGAAACTGCATAGTTCTCATCTATGCAAAGATCTCTCCCTCCTTGCATCCCGGATCACCATAGCTCGACATAGGTGAGAAGCGATCAAGAACATATCACAACCATTCCAGGTCTATAGAGTACTCTTGAATGATTTATCATCTTGAACCACCGCCTCTATCTCATGCTGAATCTGAAACACCCTCATGTGGTTCTTAGCCTAGCATAGATCTTCTTCAGCTTTGCCCAAATGTCGCTCACCTTTCGAATGTCATCCACTGATGAACTAATAGATGGAACCATCGAGTTGAGTAATCAGGTGTAAAGCAAGACATGTGCGGTCCTTCGCTCATCCCTCTCAGCACTGTCATTATTTAGCTCAGTCTTCGTCAGGTATCATTATAGTCTCTTCTCTACTAGAGCAGCATTGATCCGACGTGCCCAACTCAGATACGTGGTCGGTCCATCAAGCTTCAGATCCATAGGAGGGAGATCTAGCTTCACCTGCTTCGGAGCGTGTGCCGAGGTAGTGGCTCTCGTTGAGACGCAAGCTCCCTGTATGATCCCGACCAAGACCTTTAGAACTTCGGGATCCATCTTCCCCAGAATTTTCAATCCCTTACCTCCAACACTATCTCCATCTCCTGACAGTTTTAATCACAAGTATCAAGTCTAGATTACACAGATCACACACGACTTTCTGCAAGTTCGTGTGATCTGCTTTGTCTTAGCTCGCACGAAACCGCATTCTGAGCCGTCTTTACCTTCCCTTTTCCCAATCTCACAAAGCTTCTATTTATCCCCTCCCTATTCACGCTATTCCACATGTCCTCTCACCGAAAGCCGAAGCCTCCGTTAGCTCTAGCCGAGATTGCTTCGCGGGGACCAATCGAAAAAGCGGGAGTTTCTGGTCCCTTCACGTCGATCTGCATCTGTATATGTCGTTCCATGCTGGATGGTGCGATTTGCCGCTACTTCGCTAGGACCCCGATCGAAAGAAGAGGGAAATAGGAGTTTTGCTATACTCTACTTCGATCCCCACTAGTTCGATCTGCATCTGTATCAAGTCGTCATCTTCACAGTGCCATTGTCTCACAGGTTTCTGTCACGGTTCTCTGTTCACTGCAAGCTTTGAGTTGCCTTCCTACTGGTTGTTGTTAGAGGAAGGAAAAGATGATGACGATTGGCGGCAGACCTAGGTGAGGCTCTAATACCTGACAGAAATTATTGCTAAAAAACCTCCTTTCATTTCATTGATGATGAGCTAATATAGAGCCTTAAAAGTTACAACATTTACAATTAAATTCCTAGACTTCATCTATTTATAATCAAGACTTTACATTAGATACAAATCTCAACATGTGCTAAACCCTGACAAAGAAATCATAATTCTTTTATCATTTTTGGTTATATTTACACTTATTAAGGTGTTTTCTAAGTTCTTGTATCCACTAGCACGGTATAAAACAAGATCATGTAAGTTGCAAATCCTTCACTGTCGAAGGAAAAGTTATGGGGGATTAATGAATTTTTATATAACTTAAAAAAAGAAGAAATATAGGTGGTGGCTTAATTACAAGGAAAGTATTATGTGATAAATCCTTTCTCTGACAGAGAAAAAGAGAAAAAAACATTCAATAACCTATGGGTAAAAGACAATTAACTAATGCATCAACAAAAAATATAGCCTTTTTTTCTAAATAAAAAACAACAACTATAGTTGTCATGAATCCTTATTTTCTAACTTTTAATTTTGTAAGCCATCCTTATTAAGAGGCTGTAGTAAGTTCTAAATGATTGAATTGGAACCAATGCCTGAGTTCAATTTACTATTTATTGGCCTTATCTGCCCAATCTAGAGTTTGACTGTCAAATACTTGACCTAGCTAATTGTTTTCATGGAGTGTACTGAACACGTTAATTGAAGCCAAAATGGCACTTTACAGTAGCATTTAATCCCAACTAAGCATATCTTGTCATCCTATTTAATTAGAAAGGAGCTTGACACAGCACCAAAAAACATCTTGAACATTCATTCATTTTGGATCTCTTAAAAACTTAATGATTTGTTTAATACCTAATAAGTGAAGAGCCTATAAGTTTCTCTAATGATAGGTAATTATTTTATGCTTCTAAATTATATTTGTGTGTGTGTGTGTGCACACGTGCGCGTGCTTGCGTGCGTGCATGTGTGTGTGAACTTGAGTACTTTAAATTTATATATTAACAAGATGCATAAATTCGTTGTGATATATTGATTTGCCCATTTTCTAGTGATAGTGAAGTGATTGTTGAATTGTCAATATACAGCTGTTTTTTTTTTTTATCAATATTTCTTTTTAATGAAAATGAATCGCTAAATGAATCACTTATTATATAAGGATGACCTTTCTAAAGTAATCAAATCCTTCGCTCCTTCGCGGCCCTTTTATATTGCATTAATACCTATCCAATGTCCATTAAATTAGCTGTTTCTCATTATATGTTAAATAAAATAGGTCATTTCTCCATTTAATAAAAGATATAATAACTTAGTAGTTAAATTAAAATAAAATATTTTTTATGCTTATATTTATTGAGCAGTGGTTTACCTCTTGTAGTCAACTTCAGGGATTAATATCAAATTCAGATAACAATGAGTTTTAGCCTTTATACTGTCATTCCAATCTAGTTTTGGCGTTTTGCTCTCACGGAACTCCACAACAATAATAAGCCTTTATCCCTCTAAGTGGGGTTGGCTACATGAATCCTTTTTCTCCATTGTGTCCTATTAAGTGACATTTTCATTTAATTCTAATAAATTAGAATCATATATTATGCAGCATGCTCTACTTTGCTTAGCATAAGTCGAATCTAAAACATCTACTACCCTAACCAAATCATCAAATGATCGACGTTTAATGTGACAATCATCAAATGATCGACGTTTAGTGTGACCAAACTATCTTAAGACGATTCTCTCCAACCTTTCTACCACTGAAGCTACTTCAACCCTTTCACGGATATATTCATTTTGCATTTTGTCTCTAAGTGTAAAGCCACTCATCCACCTAAACATTCTCATCTCAGCAACACTTAGTTTTATACCTCTCTCTTTTATAGGCCAACATTCTGCGCACTATAAAGCTTTGCAAGTCTCGTCACTATCTTACAAAATTTTCTTTCAAGTCTAAGCAATATTTTTCTATCACACAATAGGCCCGATGCATTCTTCCACTTCAATCATTCAACTGGAATTCTACTAATAACATCCCCATCTATATCATCATCAGTTTGAATGATATACCCGCGATTTCTAAAGCGTTCACTCTTTTTAATAATTTGATCGCCTATTATTACAACTCTGTCACTAGATATACTACCAAAATTATATACTATGTATTCAGTTTTAGATCTGCTCCAAGGAAACTTTATAGTGCTCGCATGGAACTCCATTCATGTAAAAGTTCTCGTGGAAACTAGCTTTCTCTATATATGTAAAACGTGGAAAGACCTTGTAATTTAATATTTCTGCCATGATATAATAGTATAACGCTTTATTTTTTTAATTGGAGCACTCACAAAAATACCACCCAATTTTTATATATTTGCATATCTAACACCTAAACTTTGTGTGAGAGAGAGTATTCTATTCTTCAGACTTGAAAAAAAGTGAAGGATGTTGTACCCAAATCTTAACAACAGGATTTGTGAGATTGGTTCAATGAAAGCTTAAACATGATATCCTACAATATTTGAAGCCGAGATGCTGACTTGTATTTATTTCTAAATCTTTCTGTGATTGCACGAGCACTATAAATTTCTTTGATACATTGCATGAATAATATTTTTATGAAGAAGAATCATGACTGCATCTTATGAAGTTCAAAGACAAGCTATCATCTAAAATTTAGGATATAATTTTTTGCCGCAGTGGGTTGATGGTATGCATGGGAATCCCGAAGCCGCCTGCCAACCATTTTCTTAAAGCTAAAAGGTTTGATTTTTTATGCTTTGATCTCAGTTTTACGTCCCAACTTCGCTCGCAGGCAGGCGGCCTTCAATTTTGTTTCGTCTTGCTTTGCTTTGTTTTGTTTGGCCTGCAACCCTAAAACTGTGATGCTTATGAAGTCCTGAGGATTCTTTTTCATTAGATTAGATTTTGCAGTAGCATCTGTAAACAGCCATGTTGGTAGGATGGCTTGAAGTTTTAAAGTAGAATCAGCATATGAGTTTTGCCTATATATTTAATCCCAGACAAACTCTAAAAGTAATGGCCATCTTTTCTAGGCTCTTCCAGTTAAACTGGATGATTTTGAAAACAGAATGGAAATATAGTTTTAATAATAGAATGGACAAATATGAGACTTTCATATTATATGATGTACGGTCAATCTTCCACTAGAGGGAAAGGGCCAGCAATCAGATTGTCATTTGAAACTGAAATTTGGAAAAGAGTGGTGGAAAAGCCTTATTACAGATAAGAATGAAGAAGAAATGACAGCATGTGTTTTTCTCACTATGCTTTATCTACAGATAATTCCTTTTTAATTGTATGAACGGAAAAGGTTTATTTGCAGCAGATTTGTCATAACAAACGTAAATATTGAACTCTGAGAACCTCTTTCTCCTCAAAGCATCCATTATTCTTCTCCACTCTACAATTCATTCTGCAAAATAAAATATGAATGCTTACATATCATCATGCATGGAATCATAATTATGCCACAAAAAAAAAATGTAAAATAAGCTAAATGGACTATATATATATATATATATATATATATGAATTACGTGTGGGTGCGTGCGAAAGACCTGACTCATTGGTGCTGCCACCTCTGGCATAAGTCCTTCTGGTTGGGGGTTCGAATCCCTTGGCGCTAGCTCTTCGAATCAGAATCAAACACAACGGGTTTTCAACTCATATGGGGGAATCAATATTTGGTGCCCACTATGCCAAATATCGATTTCACCTTTTAAATATATATAATTTGGGAGTTAGAGCATAATTTTTTTATCATTTATTTCAATTAATGTTTTGATTTCATCAAGATTTTTATTGTGGAAGTTTATAGTGTTAAACACCAACTCATTCTATATTTGCCACCAAGGTTTTCTTCACCTTTCATATATCAAGCTTTCAACCTTGTCTCTTCAATGCCTAATTTTGCTTCAAATCTAGTGGACTAATCAGAAGTCCTAACCACTTGTTCTGTATAAAAACAACATAAATTTTCATCCACCTTATCTAAAAAATTTTGAATTAAATATGAACCTTTAAAATAAAGTTTGAGATTTTAAATAAGACATTTGACCACAAATTGTCCTTCCATTTCATTAAATTGGAATTTATTTCTTTAGGAGCATGAGATTGCTCATTTCCTCATATACTGCTCCAGTTGGTTAAAATCTAGACATCAATGATTTGATTCAAGGGTAAATTTACTTAACTAGCACACAATTGTCATGTATTTACATACACAACATCTTGGTCCTTTAGCTTTATGGATGTAAAGACGTATTTCATATTTAAAAAAGTGATAATAATGTTGTTTTTGATGTGATGTTAAAGATTTGAGTGCTATGCGTGCAGATAAATATGAAAGCGTAGGTATGAGATATTTAGCTGCACACGAATTGTGTGCCATATATGCAAATGCCTTTGATTCAATCACATCACAAACTTGATCGTCATCAATTTCATTTGCATCAATTATTGTAACAAAAACCCAACATTTAAAAAAGTTGTTTGGTTAGCAAACATATAATATAATACTAGGGGAATTTACATGCATATTCATATTAGATATTTCTTATGCATGCACATATCTAACACCTATATTTACTATTTATATTTATAACATTTACGTGTGTGTGCATCAAAATAACAGTTTCTCTTTTAAAAAAGTAAATAATAGTGATATTTTTAATGCGATGCTAAAAGACACGAGTGATAAGAACGAGTGTTACGAACATAAATAAGATAGTTTTGATGTTAGATACGTAAAAGCATAGGAATTGTGCGGTATGTACGTAAATGCCCCATAATATCGTGTTATTAACATATATCATTTTTTTTAAAAAAAAGAAAGGCACCATGGGGGAAAATAAGCATTTTTTTAAAAAAAAGAAAGGCACCATGGGGGAAAATAAGCATACCTTAATTCTATTGCAAATCTCCACCACTTCAGCAATAGGAGCCCAATCACCAAAATTCCTTTCAATGAACTGATAAGCAATCCCTCCTCTTCCTCTCCTAACTATGAACATCCCACCTTTGATATGCCTCTCCCCTCTATAGTTTCCCTCCAACCCTGTTGCCTTTGCAGCTCTATAATTTGCTTTTGCTTCAGAATTCAGCACAAAACCGGTTAAAAATCTGTCTTTCAGCAGCCTTCCTCCTCCAAATGCTTTAAAAAACCCCATGTTTTGATCTATAACCACAACACCACCCCAATAACGCGGCCAGAATTCTCTCACCTGAATCAATCATCATGAGGAAGATGATGCATCAATCTTATGTTCTGTTTCTGAGAATGTAATTGATTAGAGATCACCTCTGATTCGATGTGTTCGTGAAGAACGGCAACAAGCTGAATCCCTAATGCGTCGAATATCGGTTTCCTCGAGTATAGCCGGTGCGCTTCGGCTCGGCACATGATGCATCTAAGCACAACAACAACAACAACAACAACAACAACAACAACAACAAATTTATGCAATGATTTTTGACATATTTGCATGCATGCCCCATGATTTGTATGTAACTAACACCTAAAGTTCGATATAATTTACATTTGCAACACTTTTGTGTTATAAAATTATACTTGAAATGGTTAATTATAGTGTTATTTTTTATGTGATGTTAAAATTGTCAGTGGTATCTTCGTGTTGGTGTTAGATATGTAAATCTATAAAAAATGTGTGGTATGTATGTAAATGTCCCAAGAAAAATATTTACATACATACCACTAAATTCTTATGTATTAACACCTAAACTTCAATGCTTACCTATAAGCCAACTTACTTATGCATGAAAGCTCACATTTTAAAAATTTAAAATAATGATATTTTTTAAGCAGATTTTCATGTTATAAATATAAAAATTAAAATTTAGAAATTAGATTTGTAAATACATAAACTCGGGCGGTTTGTTAGTAATGTTCCAAAAAACAAGCATTATATTTGAAAGATTCGTGCCAATCTCTTTTCTAAGTACTTTGCATCTCCAAGCAACCAAATAAGTTGTTCCAACTTACCCCGGCCTGCGAATACACAACAAAACAACTGCCTTCTCCTTCCACATCTCTGAAGCTTTCATCGTCGCAAAGTTTGAAGCCGCCACACTTTGTACACCGACCTTATACTCAGAGGTCCGCCTCTCCACAGTTATGTTTGCTAGTGAAGAATATGGAGCCACATCTTCGACAATTTGACACGTTCGAATGCAACCATATAGCTTTGAACCCGTCGGCTTCGCCGAGACAACTCCCTTGAAGATATGTCCCTCATTGAGCTTCAAATGTAGTGTAGTTTTTGCATTGGGTGCATCAAAATTAGAACTTAGCTTTGGGTCAGCCTTTTTTGAACCATTTATGTTCCCATTACAGCTTTCATTAGCGCAAGATGAGTTGTTTTCATTGTTGAAGAAACGGGAAATGTCAGCTTTTTTCATTTTGAATTGTGAGGAGAGGGCCACATTGCTCATGCTGAGAAGAGCTTGTAGTGATACTTTGGATGCTTCCATCTTATCAGCATATTTCATTAAGCATTTATCATGCAAGTGTTTTCTAAGCTCCAATGCATCCTGATAATTCAAAATATGTTTTAAGTTAGAAGATGATGAGAGTTTTGAATATTTTTTAGAAAGCTTTAGGTTGGGAAAGCAAGTATTTTATGTATAGAAAATTGAGGTTTTTTTCAACAGAATTGATTGCCATCATAGTAGTCATCATTATATAGAGAAATGGTTGGCATGAAATAAATCTTAATTTCAGCAGTTCTGACAATCAAATTTGATTTAATAAAGAGTTTATAGTAGCATATTAGTTGTGGAGTCCAAATTCTCTTAATCATCTTTTATAAATATTTAATTTTATTTTCTCAATTAGTAGCACAACAACAACAAGCCTTTATCCCACTAGGTGAGGTCAGGTGCATGAATCCTTTTTTCTCCATTGTGTTCTATTGAGTGTCATATTTTATTTAATTCTAATAAACTAAGATCATTTTTTATACAATATGCTCAAGACTTTTTAGTTTTATCTCTGTCTTTCTTGACATAAGTCAAATCTAAAACATCTACTCTTCTAATTGGATCATTAAATGACCGACGTTTAATGCTACCAAACCATCTAATGATCATTAGATGGTCGATGTTTAATGCGACCAAACCATCTAAGAATGACCGACGTTTAATGCTACCAAACCATCTAAGATGACTCTCTCCAATATTGTCTGTCATTGGAGGTGCACCAACCCTTTCACGCATAGATTTGTTTCACATTATTGTCTCTCAGTGTCAAGCCATTCATCGACCTAAGCTTTCTCATCTCAACAACACTTCTTTGTTTTATGCTTCTCTTTTAAAGACCAATATTCTAGGTCATAAAGCATTGCAGGTCTCACCACAAACTTATATAATTTTTTCTTTCAAGTCAATTAGAAATTGCTAAACTCAAAATTCATCCACATTTAATGTTTCCAATCAAACTCTAGTTCCACTCAAACTCTTATGCTTCGTAACTACCACCTTATGATGGCTTATAAAACGGTAAAATTTAACCATCATAAGACATCCACAATCACAAGCACATAGAAGAAAAGGGAGACAAATCATAGCAAAAAATTGGTAGAAGGAATGCATCTGTATTAGGGAGAAACTCTACTACTTCAAACATAAGATATTACTAGCTTTAACTCCATTAAATAAAGAAGTTTTCCGCAACATCATTACTTTCTCTAACTCTAACTTTTGTCTATATAGTGTGTAGCTGCATTTTCTCTCAATTGGTGACATAGACCAAATGATACCTTGAACTCTATTTATATGAAGAGCAATCTTTACATATACCCCTTTTAAAGTTTAAAAGATTATTCATTCTCTACGTTGCTATCTACATAGGTGAATTTCATTAAACCAATAAACTTATATCCTATGATTATGATCCTTGGTGTCTTTATTTGATCATGCTAAATGACCATTCTAATATTATACTTAATTATATACATTAATAACACTACTTCATAGTCTTAATGGTGATATAAATCACAATATTATCTTAATAATATAACTTGGCCATACATAAAAATATTTATAATTTCAATTTTCTTGTTATTTATTGTTTGCCTTTATATAAACCGGCATCCATATGTCATGAATATATATGATAGAAGTACTATTTATAGATTTATTTTTTAAAGAAGTCCGTTGATCAAACAATTGACATCTTCCAATATAATCACATTATATGGCATAAGTAAGCGAAGCAAAACAACCTCTAAACTCTCTTTGTGATATTATTAACAAATATTTATATGAAAAAATCTAAACTTTACTTTATACATTTATACTACAATTTTTCTTTTCATGTATAGGTAAAGTGTAAGATATGTAAATACATAGGAAATGAGGGGTATGAACAAAGAAATAGAATAAAGAAAATCAATTTAGATAAACACATTTGAAAAGCTTACCAATTCCAAAATCAAGCTTTGGAAATTGTCAATAATTAATGATGTCATCATTTGACCTTGTTAATTATTGGGATATGATAACATTAAGAAATTGATGATTAGTAATAATATATTTTTTGGAAAATCTTATGAAGGAAGACATAAAAATAATTATTTCTAGATGATATGGTTGCAATCAAAGTAATATTTATTTGTGTTAAACTTCATAAAAGTAATTAAACATATTTATATTTTCAATTAAGATACAAGTATTTTTTATTTTTTCAATTTTCTTTCAAAGTGAAAGTAGAACAATATCAAAATAAAACTAATCAAAAAAGAAATAGAAGAAGAAAAGAAAGGGAAACCCAAACATGGCTAGCCTTAAAGTGCTTGCTTTTGAATTCAAAAAATATATTATTACTATATATATATATATATATATATATATCACCTCACGTGTCTCTTTG